GTCACTCCCCTTGGAGTTCAAAGTGATTCCCTTGCAGGTGTGTGCAGGTAAGGGTGAGGTGGTATGGGAGGGGGCGAGGCTGGGAGCCAGGGAGAGTGGCCGCGTGAGTCTGCCTGGGAACTTCCCCACATCACAGGCAAAGCCAAAAAAGGAAACAGCAAAATGTAGCTCATGAAACCCCACTCCTTTGTCAATGAACAAGAGTATAGATAAAATCAGATGCTATGTCACCAACCGCTTTGGATGGGGCCATGAAGCACATTCAGGGGTCAAGTGACAGTCCTGCTACAGACAAGCCACTTACACACAGGCTGCTCCCACACAGCCACAGAACTGAGATCCAGAGCTGTGGGAATTCAGTGATGGGACCTGTTGATTAGGGCAAGCTTGGTAAGCATGACAGCAACAGCCTGACCTTGTAGACCAGGAATTCTGGGGAATCTATCTTCCAGGGGACCTGGGTTCTACAGTGGAGGACCAGTCAAGGCACAAGAGAAAATGTCTTAGAGGGTGTTACGAGTTGCGGTCTCCCCACATCTTTTCCCCACCAAAAAAAAAAAAAAAAAAAAAGACATGTTGAAGTCCTCATTCCTAGTACCTCGGAATGTGACTTCATTTGGAGAGAGGGTCTTCGCAGATATAATTAGTTAAGATGAGGTGATACTTCAGGAGAGTGGGCCCCTAATCCAATGTGACTCATGTCCTCGTGTCCTTAAAAGAAGACGGCCATACGAAGATAGGGACACTCAGAGAGATGATGAGGGCAGGGATTGGCCTGACATGGCTGCAAGCCAAGGAATGCCAGTGATGACCAGGAAAGCACCAGGAGTTCAGAAGCCACCAGGAAGGATTCCCTTACAGATTTCAGGGGGAGCACGGCCCCGCTAACACTTTGATTTTGGACTTCTGGTGTCCAGATGGGGGAGGGATGATATATCCGTTGTTTTAGGCCCCAGTGGGTGGTGGTTTGCTGCAGCAGTCCTAGAAGCCTCACAGAGCTGAAGAGGGCTTGGGCATACTGATGGCACAGTGGAACAAGACCAGCCTGCAGGGGATGGATGTGTGAAGTGAAGGTGTGCATAGGATGAGGACAGGGAGGGCATATTTGAGAACTCAAGATTGAGAACCAGCGTGGAGAAAGAAAGCCAGGGATGGGAATAAAATCACAAAGCATTGGAACCCTAATCTAATAAGATTATTGTCCTTATCAGAAGATGAAGAGATAATGGGGATGTGCAGTCACAGAGGAAAGGCCACGTGAGGTCATGATCAGAAGGCAGCTGTCTGTAAGCCAAAGAGAGAGCCCTCACTAGAAACCAACCCTGCTGACACCTTGATCTTGGGATTTCCAGCCTCAAGAAGTGTGAGGAGTAAATTCGTGTTGTTTAAGCCACTCCGTCTGTGATATTTTGTTATTATGGCCACCCTTAGCAAACTAAGAGTATTAAAGTCCAGGGAGTCGATCCAGCCTTCAGGGCCTGAATTGCCTCCGAATCACACAGGCCAAGAAGTCAACCTCTGCTCCACCCTATCCAAGGACAGGGAGTTCTCTACTGCCCGAGGCGGTGTGCTGAATCCTGGGCCAAGCTGGCCTTCTTCCAATGAAACAAGTTCTCTCCCCCTCCAGCTTCCTGTTCTTCCCCTGAGAGCCATATCCAACCCTCTCTATCAAAGGCTAGCAAAGTTAGGAAAGGGCCAGATTGTAAATGTTTCTGACTGTGGGGGCCACATCGTCTCTGTTGCAAATAGCCGGCTCCCTCACTGTAGCACGGAGCGGCCGTGGTTGTGTACATGGAGAGGTGGCTGTGCTCCAATAACATTTTGTTTATTGACATGAAATTTGAATGTTACAGAATTTTCATGTCATGAACTATTATTCTTTTGATTTTTCCTCAATTAAAACATGTAAAAACAATTTGGCAGGCTGGATATGGCCTATGGAGCATAGGCTGGCAGCCCTGGGTTTAGATTTCTCAAGATAATGATTGGCCTGAGCTCTGTGTCTACTACTTCCTCCGTGTGCCTTTGATGATCATCTGTAGGTGGAGATAGGAATGGTGGAAGGTGAGAGAAGGCTGGTTTTGTGTGTTTGTGGGAGGGACATGATGTGTGTATATGGCATGGGAGTGAGAAAAAGGGAAGAACTAGGTTTTCTGGATACAAAAGTCTAGTGATCAATATCAGTCAAGGACTTCTGTTGACTGACAATCCAAGGTAGCTGTGGAGACAAATGGATGGGGTGAGGATGGGGGGTCCAGGGCAAGATGAAAATTTTCTCTTTGATCAGTAAAAGGAATACTAGGACGAAATGGATCTAAGCAATGACTTTGGGTTTCCAGCTTGGCTCTGGGGATGGGGACACAAGGAGCATGACCTCCCACAGGAGGCCAAGAAGGAAACTCCTTGGTTTTGTGAACAACCTGTACTCTGGAAGAGTTGAGTGAAATTTATATGCAAATCCACATGCCCTTTAAAGAAAGCTGAGATGTTTCTCTCTGCAAAGCCAAGGCTTCCTGGTGAATCTTCACCCTGTGGACTGGTCCCCTTGGGAAGCTAAGGGGTTTGCTAAAAGCAAGACAGACTGGAACAACTTGCTGTTGAGTCAGTGACTTGTGTATACTGGGCACCTGTGTGCAGCTGTGACGGGACAAGGGCAAATACACAAATCTTGGTCATGTGGATTGTATAGAATGAGTTGAAGGTGAGGCTGGTAATTATGATGTAAAAATATACAGCCTCTTTCCTCTTTTTTTCCTCCCTGCATAAGATGAATATAACCTCCTCCCAAAACTTCATCAGTGAATAAAGATGGAGGCCAGCAGGGAAAGCAGTGGTCTGGTTCTTCCTGGATTTAAATGTGTGCAAATTAGAGCTGGCTTCTCAACAAGTCAGGGAAGTGTAGGGGGGACAGGGTAGGGATGTCAGCAAGGGACTGAAGGCCAGGAGCCTGGCCTCGCTGCAGCAGAGACCAATGCACGTGGGGACAGAATAGTGAAGTGGGGAAAGATCGAGAAGTCAAGAGCAAATGACACAGATTCAGGGATGGACTCAAGGCACCCTGTTCCACAAAGGGCTGGGTTTTCCCCCTGGATCACTCAGGCCCTGTCCTTAATCCCAAACTGGTGCTCATGAATGAATGCAAAAATCAACTGTTGGACACCATGCTAGGCCTTGCCAAAGGCTGTGGTTGGATATTTTAGCTAATTCTGGAAACAGAAGAGGCAAGAGTGAGAAGGTGCCAGTTCTTGTGGACATTTTAGCTGCAGGGTAGTAGACCCTGGCTACCTTTTCCTTCCTCGTATCCTTTCTCTTGGCACAAGGGAACATGACAAGGACTGGAGTCCGTGGACCCAAGAAGTCCTGGTGTGATGGAAGAGAAGTGAGTGGTTGGGTTTCAGGCACTCAGTAGGCTGCTGGGCAGAGCCAAGGCAGGTGCAAGTCCAGGCCAAGGGCTGGGACACAGAGTGTTGTGTCGGGATGGGGAGGTGTCCATTGACAAGAGCCATCCCCAGCAACCCCAGAGTGGCTGGGGCTCAGGCAAACATGTATAAAATGCCTCCAAGACACACACATGTCAAGCCAAGAGCCACAGATGTCCCCAGAAGAGCAATGTCCACTTAGGAGCAGCCCAAGCCGGGGTCTTTAGTCCTGTAGTCCCAGATAGCTGGGAGTGTTGGAAAGGCAATTCGGGAGGGCCCTTTGGGAAACACAGGGGTTTCCTGTAGCCAGGCTTCTGCGAAGCATGACTGGTCTCATCATTCTTCCCAGTGTGGAAGCAGGTTTGGCCCCCAGAGCATGAACCAGTCTGAGAGCCAGCCAAGGTGGGGAAGAGATCCCTATAGGTCTGTTTGGATTTTGGGAGTAAGATCAGGTAAGGGTTTTGAAGTTCTAGGTCCTCTCTCTGGCTCTCTAGGAGGGAGATGCCTGGATAGATAGCAGCTACAAGAAGACTAAGGCCCAGGCAGTACCCAGGAAATACAGAGGGGCTGTGGGCCGCCCTGAGCTCCCTGTTCACTGCCCAGATACTCCTGCTATTGCTCTGCTTGGGGACAGATTTCCCTTTTGTACCAGGTCACATTCAGGGGGTCAGGGCTTTGAAAACATGGGCAAATGACCCAGAGGCTCTCGTCTCCCATCTGCATGCCCAGCCTGCTCCCGGCACCCTTCCTGCAGAACACCAGTGGTTTCCCCAACATGGTCAGGAAGAGTCGCCGGCCCAGGTTGGGAGCAAGAGGAGGGAGGAAAGGTGGGGCACTGAGGGAACACACACAGGTGAGGGACACAGGCTTCCGATGGGAAAGCCACTCCAGGACCCCGCACCAGGCTAGAGTGGAGAACACAGAACTGTAACAAACGACATCCCCCTTTGTGCTTTCCCAACAGGACTGCTTAAGGGTGAAAGGCAGGGAAATCTTTTGCAAACGTGTTATCACAGGTACAACCACATAACCCAACATGGACATATCCCAAGGACCCTCATCCACCACGGTTGGGGAATAAGCTTCACTGGTGTGAGTAGCAGAGAAGAGGGAAGAAAAGGAATGTCCTAGAATTCCCTGCCCAGAGCCCTGATTCTCAGGGACCAGACTTCAGGGGGTGCCCTGAATGATGGTGAGCTCTAAGGAGCCCCTCAGAAGTCATCTTGGCTTTCCAAATGGCAAGGAGGTGGGGACAGTGAGGTGAAAAGGGGTGCTACTCTCAGAGAACAGGAGGAAACAGCAGAAATGGGGGCATAGGTCCCCCAGAGAGACCCAGCACTCAAAAGACGTTCTAACTTTCCTATTGTACTTCAGAGCTCTACGCAAAGGTGCCACATGCCATGACAGGCTTGGGTTGGGGTATCTGAAAACAGATATTTCCAAAGGAACGGGCTTAGCCACTCCCGACCTTCCCTACTCGATCTTGGCTCAGCAGCCTTGACTAAGCCACCGCTCGGCTCTGTACCCCTCCTCTTAGCTTCCCAGATGGCACAGCTGGAAACCACCACACAAAGACAGAACTGAGGGGTGCCCCATCACCGGGGCAGTCTGGCTCTTGCTTGTCAAGGTGAAACAAGAGTGAACAGCGTCGAACACACAGACACACACACACTTAGCCCCAGCTGCAAGCCCGCCCACGTGGGGCCTCCTGTCCTAGTCCCATAGCCCAAAGGCACCACGTGCAGCCTGCAGTGCTTTCATTTGTGCTGTTCCCTGGGCCGCACTGACCAATAATGCATCACCCTGGCTGGTCCGGTTCAGTCCTAGCTCGGGGGTCCCCAACCCTGCCCGAGGAAAAGGGCTCAAGTCTGAGGTGCAGGGAGGCCGCCAAGCTGTTGTCCAGTGCTCCCAGGTCGGTCAGGGTTGGTACCCTCTGATGCTGAGTCTCTGGCCTCCTGAGCTGGCAGAGGACAGAGCAGGGAGGGAGAGGTGACGGGAGCCCAGGCAGCTGGACGCCGTCCCGGTGTCCAAAGGTCACAGCCTGGAGTGGGGAGAGAAGGGAGAGAGTGGTGAGAGGTCACAAGGACATGATGATATCATCCGTTGTGAATGAGCAGCCTCTCAGAGGGTCAGGTGGCTTGAGAGGAACAGTTCCTGGCTTCTGCAAGAAGACGTGGAAGAGATTTCTGCTAACTGAGGTCGTACTATACCCTGGGCTCTGTGCCAAGTGCCACACATACCTGATCCCATTTAAGCCTGAGATGAGCCTGCAATACAGGCTACGAATATTTTCAAAGATGAAAATAATCAGTGATGAACTTCTATGACAGAATCATACAATTTCACAGATGAAAACACTGAGGCTCAGAGAGGTTAAGTGTTTTGCCCAAGGATACACTGCCAGGAAGCAGCAGAGTCAGGATTTGAACTCAGAACTTTTCCCACTTGGGCATGGACTAGGAATGGTCATCCAGTGTGTGGGGCTGGAATAAAGCTCCATAACAGCTAGAGATGCAGGAAGAGGGGGTGGGACTGGGATCCACACCATAGCCTCCTGCTATGAGCAGACTTTGATGTCCACTGCAGCAAAAGGAACTCATTTAAATATTTTGTTCACCGCTGTATTCTCACTCTTAGAACAGTGTCGAGCACATAAAAGATGTTCAGTACACATAGGCTGAATAAAAAAAGAATGAATGGAAGAGGAAATGAATGGAAAATTCCACTGAACCCAACATCCCATTCTGCTAGACCACAAAGTTTCTGGTCCTGTGTTTGTTTGTTTGTTTGTTTGTTTGTTTGTTTGTTTTTTTCAGCCCAACTCCACAATAAAATATAGAAAGAGAAGCCTCCTGCTTTTCTCTCCAACCAGTAAACTTTAAGTCCCTCTCTTCAGTTAAACTGCTGGATCCTGCCTGGAGCTCCAACACTAATTCTCTAACTTGCCAGCACTCCTTTAGCTGGGCAGAGTTTTTGCTTGTTAAAGCTTCCTTCTGTCTGTTTTCGTATCCAATCCATTGTAAATCCTGCCAGGCTGCCAGCACAGGGCTCATTCTCCCTCCTGGCAGATGACGGCAGCTGAGCTACAGTGAGTGCCTGCTATGTGGGAGGCACCTGCTCACCAGGTGCTCTGCACGTGGCCACATGGAACCTGCACAGCACTTCTGCTAGAGCAGTTTCACCGCCCTCACCTTTCAGAGCATGAAACTATAGCTCAAAGAGGCCGAGTGACATGCCCAAGGCCACACAGCTATTACACAGTGGAGTGGGAATTCCAATCTACGTCTGCCTGTAAAGTTTATGCTCCTTCCAATGGTCTGGGGAAAGGATAAGCCCCTGGGGAACGAAGAGATTCCATCCTGCAGGTTCAGCAAGCTCAAACGGCAGGGGAAGGGAGGAAAAAAGAGCCTCCCAATGTCCACAGCCCCTGGGAACATCTGTTCTTCAGGACGCTGCCTTGGGGCACTTCATGGGAAGACTCTGACAATGGCTATGGTACACCATGCCCACAGGTGGGGGTATCTATATCTGTGGGTACTGCTTGTCTTCAGTGGGTAAGCCATGGTAGTACAAGTGTGTATATACACATGTCTTCATGTGCCATGTAATGTGATTGTGATTGTGTACCTGTGTGTATGTGCCTGAGTCTGCCTATGTGTGCAGGCTTCCATGTGGGGGTGTGCGTTCATGGAATGTTTTTGTATACGGATGTGTGTGTGTATAGATCTGAGTGCAGCCGTGTGTGAAAGAATTTGTATAGAGGTACGTTTTTAAGTACTGCTCCCGGGTCTGCATGAGTGTGAGTACCTGAGAGTGTCCGTGTGAGTGTGCACAACCATGAATACCTGGGAGCAACTGGCAGAGCCATGGGGAGCCCTCAGTAGCCTCATCTGGGCCTGTCTCCCTCTTACCTTCTAGAGAGTTCAGTCACAGAAGCTGGGGTTGGCGAGGGAGGTCCCAGAAAGAGATGCCACACTCATTATCTCAGATAGAACTACTGATCTCCAGCCAGAAACAAGAGGGAGGAGCAGGGTCTGGAGCCTCTTATGAGGAAGCTAGAGATACTTCTGGTAAGAAGCTCAGAGCCTTTCCTGCTCTGGCATTCATGCAATGGAGAATGCTGGAAGCTGTGGTCTGCTGTGACAGGGGCAGGCTGCTGGCCCAGAAGGAAGAGTTCCAGAAAGCTGGGCCTCATAGAGGGGTACTCTGAATACCTGACATGTGGGAGGCTTGGTGGGTTCAGGCATCACCTCACTGCATGATGCTCAGACACATCAGGGCATCAGTCTTCATCAGGAAGAGATAAGCAATGAGAAACCCAGGGTAGCTGCAGGAACCAAGACCCCACAGGACAGACTCCAGGACCCAAACCCCCAAACAGACTCCATTGAATGGAAACCTATTAGGGAAGGGTGGTTGCCAAAGGGTGGGCACATGGACAGGAGCTTGTTGGGGGAGAAGTAAAAAGGGGCAGAGAGGATCAAAAAGGTGACAAAGGGCAGAGGACAAGGCAGTGGGGAGAGATGCTAAGGGAGAAAACCTACTCTGCAGACTTCCAGAAATGTCCAGGGTGAGATAGGCGGCGGTTTCGCTTTGGCAGTTTCTCCAGCATGTCCATGAGCTTGGTGAAGGTAGGTCTCTCTTCTTGTTCAAAGGCCCAGCAGAAGAGAAGAATGTCCTAAATGAAACCAATGTGTGGTGATTACACATAAATGGTGACTTTTTGATTACTCTTTGGCATCACATTTGGTCCGCCAATTTGTCCATTCATCTGTCCCATTTCCATATTCCTCCATCATCCATCCATCCATCCATCCATCCATCCATCCATCCATCCATCCAGCATGTATCTACACATCTACCCATCCATATCAATTCACCCTTCCATCTTTCATCCATCCATCCACCCATATATCATCCATCCATCCATTCATCCACTCATCCACCCATCATGCATGCATCTATACATCCACCCATCTATATCAATTCACTCCTTCATTCTTCATCCTGCATTATCCATCCATCCATTCATCCATCCATCCATCCATCCATCCATCCATCCATCCATTACCATCCATCCATCCTTCTTCCCATGTATTTTCTGAATCCAAATAACAGCCAGGTAAGCTCTATTCTAGAAGGTCTAGGATACACTGAGATCAACAATACTTCCCAAACAGTTTCTTGACATTTTTCTTAACAGAAGGGATAAAAGGGAATCCTGGGGTCTCCATCCGTATCTCAATACTATAAGAGCCTTTCAAAGTCAGAGAAGAAAAGTTACTTTTAGTAATCTCTTCATCACCTAGGTGCAGGTAATCCTTCAAAACATAACATATAATTACTCCTTCTCTGACTTGTGTGTCTTCTGATCAAAAGAGAGGATTCTTCCTGCTGTGTTTTAGAGGAAGATTGTTAATACATACCCAGGCTTCTCTGTTTCTGTATGTCTTGTTCTGAGTTAGATAATGCCTTAAATTATTATGTAGATGCAAATAAAATTAGAACCATTAATATTTGTGATGTTTTAATTCATATCTTTTAAAAATAGCAGAAAAAGAGGGATATATAGGTTCTACCTAACTCAGCAACCCATAGTCAGGAAAAACCTGACCACGTGTTACTGTGCCCCTGGTGGCAGGTACCTGAAATTGCAGGCACAGTGCAGCAGCCTTGCCTTTTAAGCTTCAAACTGCTGTCTGACAAGGTTGTGATGCATATTTTTTTGGTCACCCTATGAAAGCATTTGTAACCTTAACACATAGTAAAAAGAAGGCCTATGACTGTGTCTGTGTCTCCCCTCATCCCCCAGGTCTGGCCCTATCTTGGGACTTACCGAGATTTCTTTTCCCATGCCAATCTGGCTGAGGTTGGGTTTCATGCCTGTGCCCATTTGCCATATTATTGCCTCTGCCGGTTGGGTCTTGAAAGGCCATTCCCTGGCGTGGAGTTCATACCAGATCGTGCTGTTGGCAGACGTTGTTAAAGGGGTGTTGGTGTGGTGTGTCACTTGCAATCTTGTACCTCCATTATTAACACACACCCACCCAGCCAGCCTCCTGGCACCCATTCTTCTCCCCAGTTTCTTCCTCATGGGGTAGGTATTTTGCCACGTGGGACACACCTAAAGCTTTCTTAATGTCTTAGAAGTCATGTTTATCCCAGGATATCTTCTAATGAATAGTTAAATACAATGTGATTAGGATCTTTGTCCCTGATTCTACTTGCAATGATTCTAGAAAATCATTGCAAATAAATAATTAGGGGTACAAAAATTTATTTATAAGGATATTCCCAGAGAATTATATATAATATTGAAAAAAAGTAAAAACACAATTGTCCAATAAGAGGAATTGGTTATATGTATTATGTTAAATCCATAAAATAAGATGAAATGCTGTATTATTATAAAAACATTTCAATGAAATTTTGCTGACATAAAAAATGCTCAGTACATAACCTTAGGTTAAAAAAAAGCAGGATATGAGACTGTATGTAAGGTTTGATATTGCTTTCTAAAAAATCATATGTGTATGAACAAGAGAATAAAGTAAAGCATAGCAAAATGTTAACAATAACTAACTCTGGGTGACAGATTAGGATTTTTTTCTTTTATACTTTTTTTTTTCTAAGTATAAACCATCCTGCGGAATGGTGGAAAGAAAAAAAGAGGTTTGAGAGTGACTTGGGTTCAAGTCCTGATTCTATTTATACTAGTAGTATAATAGGGTAGGTTTCCTGGGTATGTCACTTCACTTCTGTGAGTGCAGGTTTTCTTACCTGATAAATGAGAATAATGATAACATTGCAGTGGAAGGATGTTTATCTGGGACTCTGAATGCCAAAACAACTCCATGCTAGGATTATTCTAGAGGGATTTACCACATTATCTTCTGTTTCACAAATCGTGACATTGTAATTAACGGAGAAAGGATTGCTCTAGTGAGTAGCATGTGTCATGAATGGGGTGATGGGCCAGGTGGTGCATAAATGATGCTATGAAGTGTGAATAGCAGTGAGGACCACAGTGGATGAAACGGGATGCTGGGTTGTCACTGAGCTGTACCATGTTGACAGATCTCAGTGCTTTGAGCACAAGATTCCCCAACTTAGGAAACATCTGAAACAATTCTAGAAAGTGATCTTTCCTCCACTGTAAGATTTCATGTAAGTTTGCTTTAAAGAACACAAAGCACTCTGCTATCCTCTTTACTGATCAGAGCACTGTGTCAAATCAACTATTGTTAGGGTTTCACTTCATAGTTACATCTTCCTTCTACCTGACAACCTTATACCTCTGGGGTGGGTAAGGAGTGGTGATGCTCAGGTGTTGGAATGTCAGTTTAGGTGATCAGAAAGCTCTCAAGAGAAGGTACTAAAAGATTATAGTTATCCTAATAAATAATCATACTTATTTAGTTTTTACTCTGCACTAGACACTACTCTAAGTTTTTTGCTGAGGGAGGTCTATTAAGCATGTCTTTTTATTCTGATGCTTTGACTACTTGGGGCTTTGCTGACCCTGGAGATTCTGCCCCTTCCAGGAATAGCCAATTCCTGGAGATAGTAAAGGGCTCACCTGTGAACACACCTTTCACAGGCTAATCAGATAATCCAGAGCTCACACTCATACTGCCAACTACCTCCTTAATTGGGCTTGCAAGCTCTGGGCCAATATTCCCCAGCCCCTATATGCTATGAGCCTGCTGAAATCATTCAAACGAGTCAATCCTAAGCCTTCTTACCCTGCCTCCCCTGCTCCTTCCCAAGAAAACCACAATAAAGGCTCTTCCCAACATTTTCCTCACATTTCCTCTGCTGCCAGACCAACCCTGGTGCTGCCCTCTGTGGACACTGCATGGTGTGACACGCCCCCTCTGGAACTGTGAGTAACAAACCATCTTTTCAATGACGACTGTTGGCCTCATGCTGCCTGAATAATAACAAAACCTAAATTTTAAAACAGAAGGCATTATTATTAATATTATCCCCCTTTCATAGATGAGGAAACTGATGCCCAGAAAGGTTGTGTGTCTTTCCCAAGATAACACAGCAAACAGGAAGGGCAGCCAGAAGTTGAACTTAGTCTGTCTGACTCCAAGATGGTGCCACTAGCCAACGTGCTATACTAGGAAGCTTAGACTCCATCCTATTTAACAGTCCTTTGTAATCAGGAAAATGCAAAATTTGGGAGGCGCAAGCTTGTGGTTGGTGACTGGAGTCTGGTGAAGGAGGCATCAACAGACTCATCCACCACTCATGTGAAAGGGGGAAGGATGCCTTGAGTTATTCCCTGTGCTGGGTACCTTACAAATGTTTTCTCACTCAATTTTTAGAACACCTCGATGGATTCATTATCCTTGATTTACAGTTGAGAGAAATAGGCCTTTGAGTGGCAAAATAAATCCTAAACCCATCAGGGCTCTATGGTTAAAAGCTCCAACTCTAGAGTACAGGATATTCCAGGTGAATCTCAGCACCATCAATCATCACTGTAAGGCATGTCACTGAGCCATCTGAAGCCTCAGTTTTCTCACCTGTCAATTGGGAGCAACATGGTATCTGCTTTGAAGGGTGCTTGTAAAAATTCTGTGAGACAGTGCACATAAAAGACTTAACACAGTGCTCAGCCCTCTTTAAAAAATTCGTTTTTGTTCTAAGTCATTTCTGAGCACGAGGTTCCCCAGCAACAGGATGCACCTAATTGGCAGGAAACCCAGAGCGCCGGGTCCTTCAGAATTCAGCAGTGTCAGAAATAAAAGCCTCATTAAAACTTCCTTTTAAACCCAACTTTCAAGAGAAACTCACTTTAAGGAAAAAAGAATTGCTGAAGATGAAAACTCCAGCAGAAAACCAATTATTCCGGTACATTTTGTTAATCACATTTTTTTTTCTTTTGCTAAATTTACACTAAACTATACCAACGTAATTATTGCAATTTGGTTTCAGATAACAATATTAACTAGATAAAGATTTGGGCATAAAATAATCAGGCCGACTGACTTCCTCTAAAGTGGCCCAAGCAACAGATGTTGAGAATTCTGATCTTCCAGAAATATCTCCTCAGGGTTTTTCAGTGAGGACGCAGTGGGGGCCCTTTTCCAAGGAAGACTCTCTGTAACATCTCTCGATGGTGTTAAGTCTAATTGCACTCATCTGCAGGCCTGCAACTTTCTCAAACAGCTTCCCCAGTGTTATCTCCCCCAGCCATTGCAACCACCTGTGGACAAGATTAGGCAAGGATTTGCATGGTCATGGGAGCCTAGAAGCCTTTCTGGCTATACTTTCTCAAGGCACTCTGCCCTGTATCCTGGGGCTGTGTCCTGGGCCCTTCTTCTCCTACTGTACTTCCAAAGACATCTCATTCTGTCTGTGGCTGCAGTTACCTACTTGCTGACAAGTCCTAAACTCCTCTTTTCTATACTAGTCATGTAGAGACAGCTGTGTTTTGGTGGTTGCATTTGTCATCTCCAAGACAGCTCAAACTCACTGTGTCTAAATCTGACCTCTTTGCCTCCCTGGCATGCCCCAACCCTGCCGCACCTCCACGGTCTCCACCTTAGTGAATGATGCCACTCTCCATCTGGTTGCTTAAAGCAGCTATCTAGGCACCACCCAAATTCAATCCATGATCAAGCTCTGTTGCTTCCACCTCCTATGTGTGCTTCTGATATCCATTCTCAGCTTTCATACCCACAGGCTCTGATTCAGTGAAGGCTGCCAGCATTTCCCTGGGTATTGGACATCCGGCTCCCATCCTCTCCTTCTTCATTCCATTCTCTACACAGCAGCCAGAGTGATCTGACTGATCTAAAACTCAATTAGGATTATGTCACTCCCCGTTCCCCCAGAGCTTAATAACCATCAATGGCTCCTTAGTGCACTGAAGATGAAATGAAACCTTCTTAACTCAACCTTTAGGTCCTCGCAGGATTGACTGTGCTTCCCTCTCTAGTCTCTTATCTCACCACCCCCAGCCTAATTTTTTCCTGACTCTTCATCCATCAGCTCCCTTTCCTCCCCCAACCCTTCTACATATTCTTCCATGTGGGCAATGTGTTCTTTTATTTTTGCACCTTTTTGCACATTCTTTTGATCTGGAACACCTCACCCTGCCCTTGTACTCAACCTTTAACTTAGGCTCAGGATTATCATCTCCTGGAAGCCCTCCCTGACCTCCCAGAGTGGATTTGATTCCTTTTTTATTCCCACAGTCCTGTGTTTATTCTCAGAATAGCAGTTATCATACTTTGCTAAAGTTGAATGTTTCCTTATCTGCTTTCCACTAGAAAGAGAGAGTAGGGGCCTCTGGTGTTTTTAATATGTCCAGTATATTCTTTGATACTCCATCATGTATAAGATAGAGCTTAATTCTTCTCCCCTTAGGTGTGGACTGGATTTAGCAACTTGCTTTTAACAAACAGAATATGGTAGAAACAATGATATGTAAATTTATGAGACTAGATCATAAATGACAATGAGGCTTGTAGCCACCATGCTGTGAAGTCATTCAAGCAGCCTATACACAGGCCCAAGGGTTGAAGAACTGAGGCCTCCTTCCAACAGCCGTGCGAGTGGGCCACCATGGAACTGGATCCCCAGCCTGGTGAGCCTTCAGATGAGACCACAGCCCTAGCCAATATCTTGACTGCAACCTCATAAAAGCCCACTCAGAACCAATCAGCTAAGCCATTCCCAAATTCTTGACCACAGAAACTTAAGATAAGAAATGTTTTCAGTGGCTAAGTTTTGGCATAATTTGTTACGCAGTCATAACTAATACAACACTGAGTCTTGTGTCCCCTGCATCTGCTACAATCCTAGCACATAGCAGGCAGTCAACAAATAGCTACTGAATAAGTAAATGAGTTGGGTAACTTGTTATGGCCACATAATCCATTGGAAACCAGGCACACAAGTTTGTTAGGGTCATTCTTTCTAGTATACCCTACTCAGATTCCTCCATTCTCACCCCAAAATCCAGCCACCTTGGCCCTGTAGACAGGTACACCGTGGCCCTTCCAAAACCATTGAAAGACTTGACAAGTGCCCCTCTGCCCAGGCTGTGGCTCTCAATGGCCAGGGCAGGGCCCACTTACCCAAGGGCAAAGACGTCAGAGTGCTTGGAGAAGGGGAGCTTATCCTCCTCTGTGTCGGGGGACAGCTGGCGGATGATCTCTGGTGCCAGGTGGCACAGCCAGCCATTCTGGATACGCAGTTTGTCCTCCCGTCTGGAGAAGCAAAGCACAGGATGAGCTCTGTTTCATAGCCCAGGGAGGACCAGCCCCCCTAGCACTGACCCCATGTCTCTGGAGCCATCTCTGCTGCCCTTCTTGCTTCCCCCATTGAGCACTGCCTGACCACCTACTGGAGGCAGAAACCCAGTAGGAGGTACAGGGAAGACTGCTCTAGAGAAACACTCAGGATCCAAACCATCATTGAATTCCATTGCCTCTGAGGCACCCACCTTCTTGCCCATCTTCATTCAATGACACTGTGGATTCTTGCTATTCATGGCAGTTATGTTCTATAAAGTCACTGGAACATGGAATTAGTAGAATACTGAATCATTGCTCCTGGGGAAATATGTACACATGCACACATCCTTCACATAGTTTATAATTTTAAGCTCTGAAAACAACTTATCCTAATAGATTCTGTTTTATTTTACATAATAGACTATGAGGCTCAGAAGTGTTAAGTGACTTGTCTGAGGCAACCCTACTAACGAGTTCCAGAGTTGGGATTCAAATCTCATCCAACTGGCCCCAGAGGTGCAGCGTCTTATGCTACCCTGTGCTGCCCACTCTGGCTCAATCTCTGTCCTCAAGGCTTCTCTGTATGAGGCCAAAACAGAGGCAGAGCATCCTTTGTTTGACCTAAGCTGGGAACATGTGCATCGGGCAACTCAGAGTTTTCCCCACTCTGCATGTCCATGAATAACTGTGAAAGTGCTGTGAGTATTGATTTGGGGGATTACAAATACATTTCAGTAATACACAAATAATGATAATCTACTGTTTTTCTGTCACCTATGATGCCTAGGTTCTGTGCTTGGCATGGAACAAGACCGACAAGGTCCCTTCCCTCCTGGAGCTTGCACTTTGGTAGGGAAAGGAGACAATAAATGAGTTCAATAAATAAGAAAAACTAAAGATCGTGATAAGCATTGTACAAATAATTAAAATAGAGGATGCATCAAAGACAAGACAGATCTTACTGCAGGTAAACTGTGAGCTAGGATCTACGTGACATGAAGGATCCAGCTATGTGAACAAGGAGAATATCTAGGCAGAAGGAGAAGCAAGGACAAAGTTCCAACAAGGGCCCCATTCAGGGTGTTCCAGAACCCTAAAGAACTCCAGTGTAATTGGAACATATCATCCCATCCTATGTATCAAAGTATATACAACCACCTCCTTGCTGATGGGCCTTGGGCGGTCAGTTCCCTCTTCCACCATTATGAACAATGCTGCCATGAACATCTTTGGGTAGATACTGGGAATATCTCCCTTCACCCACATTAATTTATTCCTTAGGTAAATTCTTAGACGTGGAAGGAGGCCGGCTCCCTTCTTTCACTGGAAGTCCTTAGCAAGGCAGAGCTTTCCATGTGGGTCCGAAATCTAAGCAGACCCCGTCTGAGATCTTCATTGACTCAAGACTCCTAGGAACTGGCTCATTAACACAGGGGAAGTGAGCAGTCGGGGGGAGAGGGGGTGCATATCTCAAATCATCATTAAAAGTGAGGTCATGCAGGATGACAGCCTCTAGCATGAAGGTCTCTGTGGGGACCTGGGGCTGGCTAGATTCTTCCAGGGAGAGTTTCTGAGATGCAGAAGTTGTGACATGTTGCTCTCTCAAATGCATTCATTCATATCCCATAATCATGATTTTTGCCATATCTAAATACCTTTAAGAGCAGCATTGTACAATAGAACTTTCCATTATGACAGAAATGTCCTCTCTATGGTCCAATGTGGCAGCCACTAACCACCATAACTACTGAGCACTTGAAATGTGGCTTACAACTGAAGAACTAAACTTTTAATTTTTTTTTTTTTAAATTTTAAAGATAGGGTCTGCTGAGACAGCCTGTCAATCACCCAGGCTAAAGTACAGAGGTGAGATCATAGCTCATGGAAGCCTTGAAGTCCTGGCCTCAAGTGACCCTCCCATCTTCAGCCTATGAAGTAGCTGGGATTACAGGCACGAGCAACCGCACCCTGCTAATTTTATTTTATTTTTTGAGGAGATGTGGTCTTGCTATGTGATCTTGCTATCTTGCCCAGGCTGGTCTCAAACTCTTGGCCTCAAGGGATCCTCCAGCCTCAGCCTCGCAAAGCATTAAGATTATAGGCATGAGCCACTGCTCCCAGCCCTGAACTTTTCATTTTAATTAAAGTTAAATTTACGTAGCCACATCTGGCTAGTGGCCACCAAACTGGACACCACTGTTCTAGACTATCATGTACTAAGAAATGCATTTTTAACTTAAATATGTTTTAATAGGTCACTCTTTAGTGTGGCCATACATGGAGACTAGTGATTTTCTAATACACGTTAAAATTAAGATAGAAAATGTTTGTTCATGTCCTCCCCCAAATCAACTTGCAGATCAACACCTGTAGAAACACTGGGTGGAGGAAAGATCCCTGAATGAGACCCCAAGAGTTTGGGGCTCAGGGTTCCAGTACTGCAGTGACATTCACTAGCTGGGTAGGGCTGGGTGTGTCCCACACATGTAGTTCTTTAAGATCTCTTTCATTCCCCCTCCATCTTACACATGAAGGTAGCATCCATTTGCATATACTCAACTTTTTGTAGAACCCAAAACAGGGACTGTAGGAAAGGAAGCATATCTGGGTAACTGCTGTAATCACAACTCTCAGTTGCATTTGGATGGTGGCTTACCACAGGTATCTCATCCTGGGCCATCCATCCACCTCCTGCATTCCCAGGCTAGGAGCAGACTGGCATGCATGCAACAGAAAAAACTGTGGCCAGGCAGACACCATTAAATTTGTTCTAATTTAGGATTTCTCAACCTTGGCACTATTGACATTTGGGTCTGGGCAATTCTTTGTTGTTGGGGGGCACGGGGGCTGTCCTGGGCATTGTAGGATGTTCAGCAGCATCTCTGACTTCTACTTATTAGAGGCCATTAGCACCCCCCTTCCCCCAATCATGACAACTAAAAATGTCTTCAGACATCATCAAATGTCCCCTGGAGGAGAAAAATTGCCCTGGTTGAGAATCACTGTCCTAATTTATACAAAATAAGGAAACGGTCCAAATCTCAGTGTTTCAGGATTAATAACACATGACTTGCTCCTGCATTCTACACAAAAGACATGATGCAACACATCCTGTGCTAGAAACTACTACTCAAACTCACTAGCAAACTCTTGAGTCAGCAGAGTTAAATCAGCTCTTGCTTCTACAATCAGGAACACACACAGAGGTTGAAGGCTCCATCTGTGCTTACTAGCTATGGAACCTTGAGCAGACCCAAATTTCTATTTTCCCATCTGTAAAATGGGCACATTAATTTGTACTTCACAGAGCTGTTGCAAGGACTAAAATGAGACAGTGCATGGCACAGGACTGTGTCAGCTGCCAGAGCCACACAATTACTGGACATAATCATTACACATGTATATATCTGTTTCCGTGTGTGTGTGTGTGTGTGTGTGTGTGTGTGTGTGTGTGTGTGTGTTTATCTTGAGGACTCAGAAGTGGATTTGAGACTAGAGGCCACAGTAGGAATGTCCTCCATGAAAGTCTTTGGCATAGGCTAGCCAACATTTCCCTGCAATGACTGGGCCACTGTGGGTGGAGTGGGTTGGGGTGCTCCTGCCCAAGGGAAGCTTCTCTGCTCCCATCTTTTTGCAAACACCCCTGCCACCTCTTCCTGACTCATGGGGTCAGCAGAGAACTGGCATTTTGGGGCCAGGGCAGGAGGTGGAATGGTGGCCACGCAAGAGCCATCAGCCTGGGGCCGGTGTGGTAGGGGGCCGGGAGCCAGGCCTGGCACTAACACCCTGTGGTGCCCCATTCCCATGGCGATAGGCCCACTGGTGGCAAACCCAAATCATCTTCATTATGGTTATTATGATTAATAACAGGCTTTGGGAGGCTGGCATGACAGCACTGGCATCTAAAATGATACCTTTTTTGACGACGGCAGAACAGCTGTATGCTAGAGTCTGTCTGGATGTGCAGAACACACATCACTGGGCTGCTCCATCCCTGCCTCGGGCTGAGGGGTGGCCTCTCCCTGCTGGGCACCAAGGGCTATCCATACCCCAAGCTCTAATAACTGAGGGGAGGGCAGGAAGGCAAGTGACTCCTGCTGAATGCTTACTGTTTGTCAGAGTGCCCATCCCACTTAGGCCTCACAAGCCCACAATCTGAGGGCTACCATCCTGTTCTGTGGATAAGGAAACGGAGGCTCAAAACAGTTAAGTGACCTGTCCAAAGGGACAGAGCTGAGATCTGTTTGAGCACAAGTCTTTAAAACCCCAGGGACTAGGCACCTCACCCCAATTCTACAAGAATTTCTGGAGAGAACCATTAAAAAGCCTGGCTGGGTATGGTGGTGCACACCTGTAAGCCCAAGACCTTGAGAGGCTGAGGTAGGAGGACGGCTCAGAGGTTGAGGCTGCAGTGAGCCATGATTGCACTACTGCATTCCAGCCTGGGTGACAAAACAAGAGATCCTGTCTCAAAAAAAAAAAAAAAAAAGCAAAATGCTAAACTAAGCCTTCCTCATCTGTATCCCGTTTAATCACCAAAACAGCCTTATGAGGTAGGTGCTATTAATTAGTGCCTGCCCCTACTCCTATTTTACAGATGAGGAAACTGAGGATCAGGGAACCCCTAGGTGTGTGTTAATCTGGAATCTATCTCAAGGTATTATAGACTGAATTTTGTCTCCCCCAAATTTATTATGTTGAACCCCTAACCCTCAATTTGATTGTATTTAGAGATAAAGCCTATAGGGAGGTGATTAAGGTTAAGTGAGGTCATAAGTCTGGGGCCCTAATCCAATAAGATTGGTGTCCTTATAAGAAGAGGAAAGACATCAAAGACCTCTATCTCTCTCTTTCAGTGCACAGAGAAGAGGCCATATGAGGACACAGTAAGAAGGTGGCCATCTGCAAGCTGGGAAGAGAGCCCTCACTAGACACTAAATTTGCCAGCACCTTGATCTTGGACTTTCAGCCTCCAGAACTATAAGAAAATAAATGTCTGTTGTTTAAACCCCTGAGTCTGGTATTGTGTTACAGCAGCCCAAGCTGACTAATACATGCACTCTCTAATTATTTGCTGACTGGCTGAGTGAATAATGAATGAGGGAACTTCCAGGCCTATCTCCTGAGAGATACTGGCCCTGCTTCCTGCAATGCCCAAAGCCTAGCCAGCTCCCTTCTCTCTCCACTCCTATAATCCAGCTCCCAGGTTGTTGATTAGGGCCATAGATGTCCCTTATTCAAGGGGTGTCTCCTGGCCTCTGGCTGCTGCACTGGGGGCTCCAGGCTGCAATGGGGGCAGTTACCAAAGATGCCTTTGCATAAACAAGAGGGAATAAATGGACCTGAACCCCTGAGAGGACTCTGTGGATCCCTAGAGCTACACTGGAGGTATTCATAAATATTGAGGCAAATCCACTACCTGGGAAACGTCCTGGGATTCATGGGACACCCAAGAGTTCCACCTCCCTGTCATGGTTTGCAACATGCTTGCTTTGGTAGAACCCACTTGCTACATAAGTTTGATTACCCTGAGACTGCCATGGTGTGAGGAAGCCCAATGTAGTCATGCAGACAGGCTGCATGAAGAGGGAAAAGCAGGAGATGAGAGAGACCCCATCAGTCCCCCAGATGTTTCAGCCAGCCCAGCCCAGCTGTGTGAATGAGGAAGCCTTCAGTTGTCTCCAATTTTACCACCCATCCCATTGTACCTACAGGACAAACTGAACACAAGAGCTCAGCTGAGCCCTGTCAACTCACAGAACCATGAGGGATGACAATACCTTGTTTTAAGCCACTAAGTTTTGAGATGGTTCATTGCAGCATAATATGTAACTGGAACAAGGATAAAAGCATAAGAAGTCATTGATGGCTACTTGTGGGTGGCCGGGAAATGTGAATTTCTTGTTGGGAGATGTTGCTGAGGGCACTCCCTGGGTTTGTGTTGACAACTTGGCTGGGGCAGGGGTGGGAGGGGCTGCTGTCTGGACAAGCAGACTGGAAGCCACATTGCCCTTGACTTGGTTGAACTAACTTCCTGGTTGACACTGGGTCTCCATGAATGAGCTAAAGGAAGGGATGCCCAAGGCATTCCATTCCATTCCATTCCATTCCATTCCATTCCATTTCTTTTTCTTCCTTTTCTCCTTGTGGCTTCAGAAAACTGAGTCTAAAGGCAGAAAATCAGAGGCCCTGCACCCCTTTCCTCCACCACAGGGAGAAGCCACTGGTGAGGAGAAAGGGAGAAGTGTGGACATGCCACCAGGAGGGAAGAATGTCTGCTTTTTATAAAAGCCCAGAAGCAAGTTAGAGAAAACTCTTACTGGGCCTCCTTTTGTCTTGATGCAAATACTTGGGTTCACAGTGAAGTCACCCACCATTGCATCCTTGCAGTTCCCCTGGGACACTGGGAAACTGGGAAGGGTATGAGTTCCCTGCCAGTGAACCAGAAACTTAACTGCTGCAGGGGAGTCAGAGGGAAGAAGGGATTCTACACGGTCTTGCCCTCCTGGGCTTCTTGGGTTCCAACTGGAGGGACTCTCTCCAGTATCTCTTGATATATTTACATATTTACTGCCTACTTACTGCCTTAGGGACTACAGATAGTTTTGTAGACTATGGTTAATCTTTCTTGGGTGGAGTAAAATCTGAAAAAGAAACTTAAGCATCTGTTTGGTCCTCATCACACAGAAACAGCTACGTGAAGTTTTGTCAAATTCCAAATGATCCGACTTATAACAGATTCAAGGTATCGCACAGCACAAACAAGATTCACTTTGTTGGCGTCCCTGCGGCATTCCTCAAAAAAAAAAAAAAAAAAAAAAAAAAAAAAATCAGCGGTTCTCAAAAGCAGCTGAAACGGAAGTAAAATGAGAGAAACTGTGGGCTTTCTGAAGAGATGCACCATTTGTTACAAAATGCAGGATTACAAAAAGCATGCAGAGGTTTCAAGTGAGAGCGAGAGCGAGACAGCGAGAGAGCGAGACAGAGAGAGCACAGTTCAAATTAAAAGTCACAAGGGTAGACTTTGTGAATTATGGGTTATCTGAGATCAAGCTGGTTTTCACGTGGCCAATTCAATGCAGCTTGCTCTAGGGTGAGTAGTGGCTGAGAGTTAATTACTTAACGACAGTTAATGATTCTCCTGGGTGATACTGGGAGGTATATGCAAATTAATACCAATTACAACAACTCAGCAGCAGCTACCCTTTGTGGAGCTTTTGAGGTACATCAGACATTGGGTGGATGCTTGATGCTTGTTCTCATTTTATCCTCACAAGAACTGATTGAGGAAGACATCATCAAACCTACCACTTTTCTTGCAGACAAGGAAACTAAAGTTCAGAGACGTTGTTCGGCTTGATTAAAGTCGCATTTAATAAGTGGAAGGGCTGTGTCGGGCCATGGTTGCCTCTGACTTTAAACCCCTTGCTGTTAACTGTACTCTTCCTGTACTAAAATCAATTAATTCCTAGAAAACTTTGAGCAAGGCCTCTTGGGTGATCTCAACTTCCAGGTGAGTACTTAGGGTTAGAGGAGAGCCCTCCAGTTAAATTCAAGGGTGGGGGCTTTGAAAGATCTGGGATGCTCTGTGTCCAATCACACACACTCAAAGACAAGACAGGTGAGCAAGGTGCTGGCCTCCCCATGGGGAAACACGGCATGGCCTTGGCATCCTGCATCAGTAGAGCAGCCGACCCACTCAGCTCAGCAACCTCAGGCCCAACCCTGAGTCTACGTCACTAAAGCCATTTGGACTAACTTCCCACCTCCTGACCATCATCTGTTAGGAAACTCTCCGGGTGCTCCCACCGCCTCTCACCTGCCAGCCTGCAGCACCCCAGAAATGCTGAAGAGTCCAAAGTCCGTGATGACCACTTTGCCGTTGTCGTAGAAGACATTCTTTGACTTGAGGTCCTTGTGCAGGATTCCCTTGGCGTGGAGGTAGCCCATGCCCTGCAAGAAGCAAGGAACAGGGAGTTGCCAGAGAACAACCTAAGAGCTCGCTGCCACCCTGGCTTGAGTTCACATCCCTTGTCCTGAAGACTTGGCTCCCTAATGGGACCACACTCAACAGTGGCAGGGCCTGGGGTCTGACCATGGGTCCTGGGGGAGAGGTCGGGGAAGGCATGGCAAGCAGGAACAGGCAGGGCCCCCAAGAAACAAATCCATTGCCACTCTCAGACCACAGAAAGGCCATCCCCACTTGCTCATCTGATCCCTGAAGAAGAAGCAAAAGAGATCCCTAGGGAAAGGAATTCAACCAACCATTTTCATCCACTTCCCCTTTAAAGACTAACTCTTCTGCAAGACTAGTCAGACCTACTTAACCTATGCTGCTGCAGAAGGCACTGAGTTCCTAAAACAGATGTTCATAACTGCTCATTAAGAACAGACAAAAGTCTATTGGAAGCCTCGTTCAAGGGCAAACATCTAGAGTGGCAGTGGTTTCTTTCTTTTTGCCTTTGTGAACAGTCGCATCGTTCCTCTTACAGCTTGGTCCTAACACCTCCAAATGAGAAATGAAAGCTTGAGTACAACTAATAAGGCACCTGCCAGAAAACACAGGATGTTCTTGTTTGTTTTAATCCAAAACAACACCCAACCATTTGATGTTTCCTTAGCAGCAGTGGAGAGAGAGATGGTTTCCACTCATGGGAGTTCAAGGCCTCAAGGGATGGTGGATCCTAACCAAGAGGGCTGAATAGCTTGTATGTGACCCCTGGTCCTTGCATAGGTCCAAGTACCATAGCAATGAGACACCAGATGGAAACCAACCATTGGTGGATAGTTCCTACAGATCGTATCGAGGCAGAATTCTTACTTACACATGGCCTGGCATTTTTCAGGTGAAGTCTAATTTCTTTTAAGTCCAGATTGGTAGTCTGAAATCCAACCATGAATGTTAGGAGTCCTGGGGTTGGGGGGCTTCTCTGGGGGAAACTGGGTCTTTCTGAGATTTAGGTAGGAGGCCCTAGAGCCGACAGTACCTTCACAATTTCTTGAGCAATCTGCCTGGTTTTGTTGACATCCAAGACGATTTTGGCATCCCTCACGACAGAATAGAGCGTCCGTCCCTTACAGAGGCTGAAAAGCAAAAGGACAAGATAAATTAATGGCAGTCGTTCAGAAGAGGGTGACCCATGACAGTTACTTCAAGTGACAAATGATGGAAGAGACACGTGGACACACCACTATTGTGCTTATGAGATAATAAGTCTGGGACTGGACTTCAGATCTGGTTCTGGGATGGAGATCTGGGAGGAAGTTCTTGTAGATTCTTTAGAAACTTGGCCAACGTGGCTGACCGACAAGGACACCCACAGAATCTAGCCTAGTCCAGAAATGGGTTTGCCACGTCCAGTCCATCCCAGAGGCTCACAGGTGGAAAGCAGCACATAAATCAACAACTTCTGGGTCCTCAGACACCACTCAGACAGCATTCTGTTGGCCATTCACACCAGCTGCATGCACTTGCCAGGAGTCAGTGTGTGAGGACAGTGATGAAAGACCAGTAAAGTGGTGGCTGATGTGTATTAAGTATCATCAGCAAACGATGCAGTCAATTGTTTGGACGGGGATGTGTAAACACCAGTAATACCACCCCCAAACCAGACGCCTGTCTAGCTAAAGAGTTTTTCAAACCATTTTCAGCCTCATTGAGTTCATTTCCAGGACCAGTAGTTTAAGATGAATGACAGGATGAAAAAGGACATTATGCAGTGAAAGTAACACCTTCTCATTTAGTCGCCTGTATGCTCATCCGTCCGTTCCTCTGCAGAGTCCAATTCCCAGCACGCACAGAGCAGGCACCCACAAGCCATCACTGAATGAATGGATTCTAGATTCATCATAGCACTCCCAGCCCCTAGCACTGTGACTGGCTCAGAGTATGCAATGTGGGCCAAAAGAAGAAAGAACGTCACTGTGAAAATTAATTTTCCACCTCCATCAAAATCACTGTTTGAATCTTCCTCTTTTAACCTACGACGTTATTGCTAAAATACTCCTGGCATTGTGTTCATCCATTTGGTATTTACTGAGCCCTTGTCGTGTACTGGGCTTTGCTGAGATTGTATGTCCTGTGATTGAAGCAAGAACGCTGGTATCAGAGGGATCTCAGTTAGAATCCCAGCTGTGCTCCTTACTTACTGTCTTGAGATGGGTTACCTCACCTCTCTGGGCCTCAGTTTCCTCATCGACCAAAGGAAACTAATAATACTTAACCCTGTAGTTAAGTATGAGGATTGAATGAAATACAGAGTTGGAAACAGGCCTTGGCATCCAGTGGGAAGTATAGCACAGTGGTTAGGAGCATGGGGACTTAGAGTAGGACTAAGGGGTTAGAATCCTGATCTGTCATTTAGTGGCTGTGTGACCTTGGGTGGGTGCATTAACCTCTCTGAGCTTCAGTTTTATTATCTACAAAATGGGGCCAACAGCTCCTGCCTTTCTGAGTTGTCAGGAGAATCCCATGAAACCAGGCATGTAAAGGTATAGGCACCTCTCTATGCCTAGTACATTTCATGGTAACTCTCCATGAGATCACTGGCTATTGTAAGAAGTTGTAAGTGATTAACAAAATAGTAAACAGACACACATACACTTGTGCAAATATATATAAGTGATATATCTATATACATATCACACTGTTTATCTGTCCACCCATCCGTATACTCTTCTAAAATGCTACTGATAGCCACCTATGATCTTTAACATTTTTTTCTTCATCTGCTTAAGGTGAAGTCCCCAGGTAGCTGACTCACAGAAAGTCTGATTCACGTGTCCGAGGAGGTCACCCAGCCAGCTGGCAGGAGGCAGCCCAGAATGAGTCAGGGCTGGCCCCGCATCCCCTAGGTTGCTGTCCCAGGCAGGGTGTTTGCTGTGGCTGCTGGAGCAGAGGTGGAGGAAGAGTGGGCAAAGCAGCCAATTACTCCATGTTGACATTTCAATATTTGAGACCGTGGGCGGATTCCCTCCCCTGGATACTTTGTTCCTGAACAGCCACCTACACTCATCACAGGCCAAAGCCCAGAAATCACCCTCCCCACTGCAGACCAAAGAGCAAATCACCGCCAACAAGGCTCCAAGACTCCCCGGAGTGTCCTGCTCAGGGTAACTGCAGGTAAGTCTCAAGCTTCAGATTTCCACCCCTTGTCTTCTTTCCCTCCTTACGTCATCTTTCCCTTCAGCAGCTACTGGTCTTTGCTTCTCTCACTCCCATATGACCTCAGGAGCTTCTGGAGAAACCACTGCACCAGTTTGGCACAGCTACTCAGGTGAAATATACATACAAATAATAACCTGATATGGTTTGGCTGTGTCCCCACCCAAATCTCACCTTGAATTGTAATAATTCCCACGTGTCAAGATCAGGGCCAGGTGGAGATAATTGAATTATGGGGGCAGTTTTCCCCATACTGTTCTCCTGGTGTTGAATAAGTCTTATGAGATCTGATGGTTTTATACAGGGGAGTTCCCCTGCACAAGCACCCTTGTCTGCTGCCGTGTAAGACATGCCTTTGTTTCTCCTTTGCCTTCCACCATAATTGTAAGGCCTCCCCAGCCATGTGGAACTGTGAGTCCATAAAACCTCTTTCCTTTATAAATTACCCAGTCTCCGGTAGGTCTTTATTAGCAGCATGAAAACAGACTAATACAAATCTACAACCAGCAATTCTTCCTCTAAGTAAGTACCCAACAGATATGAATTCTCATATTCACTCCTACACATGCACTAGAATGTTAACAGCAACCTGTCTGTTGGAATCCCAAACTAGGACCAACCAGCAATGGATTGAATGTTTGTGTCCCCAAATCTGTATGTTGAAATCCTCATCCCAGTGTGATGGTATTAGGAGGTGGGGCTTTGGAAGATAATTAAGTCATGAGGGCGGAGCCTCATGAATGGGATTAGTGCTCTTTTAAAAGGGACTCCAGCCAGTTCTCTTACTCTTTCCCTGCCATATGAGGATACAAGGAGAAGTCAACAGTCTGGAAGACGGCCCTCCCCAGAATCTGCCCATGCTAGCACTGGATTGTTGACTTTTCAGCCTTTGGAACTGTGAGAATAAATTTCTGTTGTTTCTTTCTTTCCTTTTTTTTTCTTTATTTTTGAGATAGAGTCTCCCTCTGTCATCCAGGCTGGAGTGCGGTGGCACAATCTTGGCTCACTGCAACCTCTGCCTCCCGGGTTCAAGTGATTCTCCTGCCTCAGCCTCCTGAGTAGCTGGGACTACAGGCACAATTGCTGTTGCTTCTAAGCCATCCAGTCTGCAGTACTTTGTCATGGTAGTCCAAACTAAGACGCAACCCAAATGTTCGTCAACAGAAAAGTGCATAAAATATGATATATACATATAACAAAATATGTTCATGCTGCACTATATAAAAATAACCAAACTACTGCTAACTGCAAAAAGCATGGATAAAGCTCACCAACATAATGTTGAGTGAAGGAAGCCTGACACCCAAGACTACTCCATTTATATGAAGTGCATAAGTAAATGAAACTGACCTAGGTGCTGGAAGTCAGCACAGTGATGGCCCTTGTGTGTGTGTGTGTAGCAGGTGGTGGTGCTGGAAGGAGCATTATTAGGGGGCTGGGGGAAGGCAGTGTTCTGTGTTTTGATTTGGGTGCTGGTTACATGGATACACTTAGTGGAAACTCACGGGGCTGTTCTTTTATGATCTGGATACTTTTGCAGGTATGTTATCCTTCCAAAACATGTTTTAAAAAGTCATAGCCTGGGCAACACGGCAAGACCCCAATTCTACGAAGGATACACAAAAAAACTAGCCGTGTGAAGTGGCACATGCCTGTAGTCCCAGCTATTTGGAAGGCTGAGGAGGGAGGATCTCTTGAGTCCAGGAGGCAGAGGTTGCAGTGCATGGTGATTGCACCACCACAATCCAGCTTGGGTGACAGAGTGAGACCCTGTCTCAAAAAAAAAAAAAAAAAAAAGAAAAAAAAAAAGAGTAAGCAGGGAAAGAATTAACAATTAATATAATTAGTATATGGTGTTGAAATCTGTAAAAAATGTAAAGCAGCACTGATACCCAAGGTATCCTTTTCTAAAGGCTTTACACAGTGAAGAGTATTTGCAGATGGGCAATGTCTACAGAGGAATTTGGGGCTCCAGGCCTGGCTGTGCCCACCTGGGTGTTTATCAAGAGCTAAGCTGGAGATAAGTTGAAGACGAAAGCTGAGCTTTAAAGATGAGCAGGCATCAGGCAGATGTCCAGGATGACTGAGGCTAGGATGGTCCCGGCAAGTCAGTTCAAGTGTCCACAGCAACTACTCTGAGCTTGGAATTCCTCATGACTAATAATGGTGGCCTAAAAGCCACTCGCAGTGTGGGATGTGGGGAAAGGAAGGGAGAAGAGGATGAAAGTTTACTGAGCATGTGCTTGGGACCTATATCACTTCCATGATTCCTTCTAGCAATGCTGCAACCCCTATATATAATAGCAAACCCTATTATATCTATTTTATGGGTGAGGATATGGACACCCAGAGGCCCAGCTTGTGGATGCATAGCCTTGATGGGAACCCACTCCCAATCTTCTTCCTGTCTTCTCCTCTACTGTGTGGGTGCCCAGTTATCAGACATGATTCTTGAACCATTAATCAGGTATCACAGCTAAGGGAACAGAGGAGCACAAACTGAGTCCAAATCCTGACTCCAGCATTTACTACTTGCTGGGTGACCTTCAGATGTGACTTCAACCTCAGTTTCCATGTCTGTAAAATGGGTCCAGCAGAAACAATACAGGCTGACATGTCCTGGGCACATTCTATGTGCCAGGCAGTCTAAGGATAAGAGCCTTACAAAGTGGGTATTCTTGCTGTTTCTCATGGATTCCAAATATGCACATTTCTAAAATCAGAATGTGTCCTGCAATCATTGACAGAGCATAGTTTCATTGGCACTGTATTTCTTTCTTTGTAGCACGTAAAATAAATGGTGACTATTCTTTTCTTTGGAATGGGGTCTCACTATGTTGTCCAGGCTGGTCTCAAACTCCTGGGCTGAAGTGATCCTCCTGCCTCGGTCTCCCAAAGTGCTGGGATTACAGGCATGAGCCACTGCACCCAGCCTAAATGGTGAATATTCTAATTGAAGGTCTCTTCAATGGTTCAATGAAGCATGGTATCAATCTCATTTTATAGATGACAAACTTGAGGCTCAGGGGTTAAGTAGAGTGGGATGATTTTAATTTAATGTGTAAAAGTTGTATATATTTATTGTGTACTACATGGTGTTTTGATATATGTATATATGTGGAATGGCTAAATGAAGCTATTTCATTTATGCATTATCTCACATTTTTTTGTGTGTGGTGAGAACACTTAAAATCTACTCCCTCAGCAATTTTCAAGCATATAACATATTGTTATTGATTATAATAACCATGATGTTCGATAGATCTCTTGGCTTGTTCCTCCTGTCTAAATGAAGTTCTGTGTCCTTTGATCAAAGTCTCTCCACTCCCCACACTCCCCAGCCTCTGGTAACCACCATTCTACTCAATTTCTATGACTGACTGTTTTAGACTCCACATATAAGTGAGATCATGTGATATTTGTCTTTTAATTTATGTATTTATTTTGAGACGGAGTCTCACTCTGTCACCCAGGCTGAAGTGCAGTGGCGCCATCTCAGCTCACTGCAACCTCCGCCTCCTGGGTCCAAGTAATTCTCTTGTCTCAGCCTCCTGAGTAACTGGGATTATAGGTGCCTACAATCACACCCAGCTAATTTTTGTATTTTTAGTGGAGATGGGGTTTCACCATGTTGACCAGGCTGGTCTTGAACTCCTGACCTCAGGTGATCCCCCCCATCTCGGCCTCCCAAAGTGCTGGGATTACAGGCCTGAGCCACCACACCCGGCCGTTATTTGTCTTTTTATGCCTGCCTTATTTCACTTAGCATAATGTCCTCCAGGTTCATTCATGTTGTCACACATGATAGGATTTCCTTCTTTTTTTAAGGCTGAATAACATTCCATTGCATTTATATGCCACATTTTCTTGATCCATTCATCTGTTGATGGATTCGGGTTGATTCCATATCTTGGCTATTGTGAAGAGGGTTACAATGAACCAGGGAGCACAGATCTCTCTTCGACATGCTGATTTCCATTCCTTTGGATAAATACCCAGTCGTGGAATTGCAGGAACTGGGGTTTTAATGCAGGCCACCTGGATCTGGAGGCTATGTTCTTAAAACCCGTCTTTTGCTTCTTAGCAACTTTCTCTGAGTCTCTGGCATGTCATAAGCCCTCAGAAAGTGGTAGCTGTAATGTCACTATCCCCATCGCCTATGGCAACGAAGATTAATGAGGACTGCTGGTAGTACAGTCCATCTGGAGGTCAGTAGAAAGTGTTTTAGTGGCTCAATAGTGTATTTAGTACCTCTCTAGCTTCTAGTACACACACACACATGCACCTCTCGGTATCTCTCTACACCAAAAATCATCTTTCTCCAAGAAGAGGGGCAAGGCCTGGGAATTCCCCATCTTATCTGCAGGTACCCCACCTCTCCCAGCCTGGCCTCAGGCAGTACCCACAAGGCTGCCCTTTGAGCCCCTATCTCAGGTGACACAGAGAGCCTTTGGCTAAGATGGCACTGTGGGTACGAGATGTTTATTATAAACCAACCTAAAAGGGGCTTGTCAGAAACAATGAGATAAAACCATCTAGAAGGTTTGTCTCTGAGGGCCTCTGTCCAGACTGGCTCATTCTGCCAAAACAGTGGCTGGGACAGAAGCCTGGATGCCTGTGGCAGCCATGTCCTTTCCCTCCTCCAAACGCCTCACCACCAAGCCCAGGCACCCGGGCCGGGTGTGAACAGTGGGGAGCAGGGGCTTTTCTGGGAGCAGCCACCTCTGAGGACTGACACCCTGGCTCCCAGCCCAGCTCTGTCACCCCAAGCCCCCATGGCCTTGGGGCACACGCATCTCATGGGGGCACAGGCTCTGCCTCTATAACCAGGAGTGTGGTGAACTGAATAATGGCTCCAAAGATGTCCACATCCTAATCCCTGGAACTGGTGAAAATTTACCCTACATGGCAAAGGGGACTTTGCAGATGTTATTGAGTCATACTCTTGAGATAGACAG